TGCACATGCTACAAGAAGATGCAAAGGTAAATAAGAGGCTTTTACTGTGAGATGGGATACTTTGGAGGTTCTGGTCAGAAGGTCGATCTGTTGTTACAGTCCCATCCTAATATGCTTTCTTATATGGGTGTTTCAACATAACTTCTTGGGGATATGCCTAACATATGAAGATTCATTTAACTAAGTTTTTTTTTGTTTAAACAAATAAGATAGCTGCTATTCTTAAATTACAAGTGTCCTTCTCACTGTATTTTACCTATATTCGTTTCCCCCTTGAATCTCATAAATGAGCTGAGATGCAGATAGTTTCATGGACCCATGTCATTCCATGAAGAAAGTTGTCTTCTGTAAGAATAGCTCCTGTTTATTGAGCTCCTAATAAACATGTTCCTTTGCATGCATCCTTCTCACAAACCCTCACAATACAGCAAGCTAGTCCTTATGGCTTCCATCTTTAAAATAAGGAACCCAAAGATCAGAGAAGGTAAATCATTTGCCTGAGATCACTTAGCTAGTGAATGGTGGAGCCAGAACTGAATCTAGGCCTTGTGGTATTACAACAGCTAAAACCATCTCAGAAAGGCATTCCATTGACTAGCATGTAGGGTTTGAGGGCTCACTTTTGTGAGCTAGCCCCACATCAACATTGTGCCTATTGGAATGTCACACAGCCACAAAATAATACACTTTCCTCTATCTTGTCAACTGCCGTCTCTGGCCCTCACATGCTGTCAAAAGTGCCCCTTCATTCTGGGCTTAAAATAACTTGGTGCCTTTGTCCTTTTCAGACGACTGCCAACCCTTCAGTCTCATCAGCAGACATGCCAGGCATTTCCTCTAAGCATGTAGAGACTAACCTGGTGTGGAATGGTGGGAGCCTTAGAGATTCTTTTTGTTCCCAGGCCAGAGCTTCTTAGAATTTTTTGTTTTTTGTATGCATGTTCTGATATTGTATGTCACTGTCTGGCTGACCTATCTATCCTCCAAACCCAGACTGGCAATCCCTCTAGCAATGCTGAGTAGACATATCCTTTTCTATCTCTGTGATTCTAGTGATACGAAAAGCAACTGGATACATAGACTGATCCATGGTTTGCAATGCTCTTTGTTCTGCCTCTCTGGGAGCAATAATATACTTTATTTTAACCAAGTGTCTGACCTCGGGCAAGTCTCCATTTCTGCAAGGGGGTGGAAGTGCGTCGCTTTGCAGAAATAAATCTGTGAGTTTTGGGCTAATAACTCTTCTTCCACCTTCTGTAGAATATTATTTGTCCATTGCAGCTTTCAGGGCTTCCATAAAGTGTTTTGTCACCAGGACTCCTGCAATCTGTGAGAGAAGTTAAGGCATCAGAACTTTAAATTCAATGCCCACATTTTGCTAATAAAGAAACTCAACCCCCAGGAGGTGCAGGGACTTACTGCAACCCATGCAAATTCAGGACCAGAATATGCGACTCACCCCCAATTGAGAGGCCTTTTACATACTACTTCCAGTTCCCAGGTCAGAATGGACCTTGACATTCACAAACCATCTCTCCTGCCTTTTTTGATGGGCTCTAATTTATTCATTATAGTGAAGCCACTCAGCAAAAAAAGTGTGGTCAGTGTTATTCCTCAGCAAATTCACACAAAGTTGAAGACACTTTCTCTGGCTAAGAATACAATTGATCCGGAAACATCCACAATTTCAGCCTTTCAGAGTAAAGTGCCTTGTTCAAAGTCATCAGACAAACGAAGGACAGAGTCAGAACTGGAAGCAGAAACCTTCAGAAACACACTGGAAGATAATGGATGGGTACAGGCTATCCATACAGCTTTTCTGTCTTCCTAAAGTCCAGGTGGGCTCCCACACTGTCAAATTGATTGATTGAAGCATCATTGCTAAGATGTTCTCAAATCCCCAGCACATGGATATGGCTGCACGTTTGTTTCTAGGTTAGAACAGAGAACTTCCTCCTAAGAACACCAGCTAAAGATGAAAACAAGACCCTAATGAATGAGTTTTATGAGCACTGGAATACAAGTAAAGAAAATGGAGACAGACAGAAGAGAGAGCTTGGATTTATTTTTCATGGGGTTTTTGGCTCTCTCTTAAACAAATCTGACCCTAGGTATAAGCTTGCCCTTTCCTGGTCCCAACTTCCCTGGTTATAAAATACATGTTTGGCAACTGCTCTGAAAGTTATTAAAGTTGCAGCAGTAAACTATGGGAGGCCAGAGAATTTCAGACAAAAGTTATTGCATCAGTAACTCAGAAACTAATTCCTAAAACTCTTGACACATTTATCCAGAGGGCTAGTGCCAATATAGAACTGGAAATCATTGTCAAGGGCCCCTGTGTACCTGGAATTAAAATCCATCATTCCTCGGAGCAGGGAGCGACATTTCTTGGCAGAATCTGAATAGTCACGCCTTTCACCATCATCTTTCCTCAAAAGTAAGTCCCTTTATTTTTCAGAAGAGCAAGAAAATTTCTAATTTGTTTGTTTTCATAAGAACCCCTCATTTACATTTTCTTTTCCAATATTTCTTCCTTTGACAGCCCTACATTTAAACCAAGAGGCCTCCTTGTCCTTATTCAATTATACTGGTTTTATTTTGGATAGAAAACCTGCTGGGTACAGTAACAGAGAACAAACTTTACAACAGCAATATCCCTTCTACAGCCTCTACTGTGTGGAAACAATACACTTTTATTAAATGGTTGAGGCATTGGCTCCAGTGATCTGAATTAACTACAGAAGAGTATAGAACGGGAACAAAACTACCCTCTTCGCTCAGCAGACTCCCAGTGCGTGCCGAGCAACACGGCAGGGACCAGAGACTCAAACTGCCATCCTGGAGGCGCTGAAGGACCAGTGGTGGCCTCAGGCAACACCTTTGTCAGGGAAAGTTAGCAAAGATGGAAAGACTTCATGGGTTCCAGTGTTGCCACCAAATGGCAAAATGGGCCCGCTGACTCGCTGTTGGAGGACTGACAATATGCCTCCGAGTTTTAAATGTCCGTGCGCCTTGACCCAGGCTCTGGGAATGTGTCCCAAGAAGGTGGCTACAGAAGTAAGTACACAGGGCTGGCTTCTGCGTGGTGTAAAAAGGAAAAATGAGGAGCAGTGCACAAATCATTAAAAATGCAATCATTGAACTGATCCTGTAATCTATATTTATTATCTCATAATAATAAAACATGCTGAGACATGCCATTGAGTGGCAAGGTGCAGGCACAGTGTGCTCTCATTTATTTAGAATTACAGCTGAAAGGCTGTTCACTGAGGTGTGGACAGCGGTTTATCTCTGCATAATGACTTCTAGGTGACTTTTCTTTATCCACTTTCCTGAATTGTTGGACTTTTAACATTTTTCATGATAAGCATCACTTTACACTTGTGGGGGAGGATGCTTTAAATGTTTTAAAACAGAAAGCTAGTCTTTCCCTGAACTCCTTAGCACTTGCACTACTATACCTAAGCCCAACCTAGTGGTCCGTCCATATGAAGCACTGTGATGAGTTCATGCATGTGCAGAGTCCCTGTTATCTGCAGGTGTATGTTCCAAGTGGGTGTCCGAAATCGCAGATAGTACTGAACCTTATGTATATTCTGTTTTTTCTGTACATACCCATGATACAGTTTAATTTATAAATTAGGCACAGTAAGAGATCAACAACAATAACATAATAAAAATCGAACAATTATAACGATATGGTGTAATAAAAGTTATCTGAATGGCTTTGGGGCTGTTACTAAGTAAAATAAGGGTGACTTGAGCACAGCACTATGATACCATGACAGTCGGTCTGATAACCCAGATGGCTGCCAAGTGACTAATGGGAGGGTAGTGTATACAGCATGAATACGCTTCACAAAAGGATGATTCACATCCTGGGTGGACAGAGCAGGCCAGTGCGAGATTTCATCAAGCTACTCAGAACAACACACAATTTAAAACTTATGCATTGTTTATTTCTGGAATTTTCCATTTCATATTGGTAACTGTAACTACAGAAAGCAAAACCATGGATAAGGGCAGATTACTGCATACATATAGCAAAACTCATCAATTTATACATTTTAAGCCATCAAATTATACATTTAGTACATGCACTCTTGTATGTCAATTACACCTCAATAAAATTATTTTTTGAAAGGAAAGAAAATATGAACTAGTCCATATAATTTCCATTCTCCACACAAACTGTCAAAATAACTATATATTTCTTTAAGAACCTGAATCATTGTTGGGAAGCAAATTTGATGTTCCAATCAGTGACAGAGGCTGTTCCCTGACGTTAATCGCCTGAGTGAGGTGTGAAAATGTTCATTTAGCAGATTCTCTGTTACCCCACCGTGGCAGTGTCCTTGGTGATAGATGGATGCAAAGCTTGCTGTTTGGCCTGCTTTTGTCTTTTTTCTGTTTGCACCTTTTTGCAGAATCCACGTCAATCTTAGGTACTTTTACCCCAAAATGCATGCTTCGGTGCACTTTAATTTTCCTGCAGTAAATAAATAGCCCTTGCAAGCTTTCCTTAAGTAACTATATAGCAAACCTGAGGATTCTGAGACTTTGGGATCAGATAAAATTCTGAAAACCAAGCATTCTTTCCAGAGATAATTATAAATAGACAGATAAATGTTTTAAAGGCTGTTCCTTCACTCTGCTGCCAGGTTTTCTCAAGTATATATATCTTTTCCTGTAAGACAAGCTACTGAAATATCTCACAGGTCTGTAACTGCCTAAAGAGAATATGGGGGCGGAAAAACCCACCAGTGGCCACAGTGGGTTTGGAAATGGGTCTCTGAGTTAGCTGGAGAAGACAGGAACAAATGTCCATGTGCTGCTCTCAGGGCCGCTCTCCTGCAAGCCATGTAGGGCTCCATCTCTTGTTGGCAATGCCCTTGGAGAGTGTGGGCCCTGACGCCACTGCAGGGCAGGCCCTCTCTGCAGGTTAGGCCTGCTTCTCATCACTGTTTTCTGTGCTTTTCCCTTGCTTTCTATGCCACCAGCTGGACGGTGCTGCAGGGAAGAATTGGGCGCCCAGAGAACCCGTTCCGAGTGGCCCTGGAGTACATCTCAAGTGGAAACCGAAGTTTGTCTGCAGTGGACTTCTTTGCCCTGAAGAACTGCAGTGAAGGTAACTGGGTCTGGCTTGCCCCTTCACTCCTCCATAGCTTGTTGTCTCAAGTGTGTCAGTAACGGCCACCATGATTAGCTGGGAATGTGCGCGTTTATCTAGAAAAGTCTACAGTGCTTAGGGCTGATTCTGAACATCATCAAGTGCTTCACAGCCCAGATGGTTGGTTTTCAAAGATCTAATATAACATTATATCTGCCTAACTTAAAACTTCATCGCACAGAATATAGTCTTCATTAGATAACATATTAGCTTCAATTCTCTGGTTGCTGAATGATTTCACCATCTTTCTTAGATTTTTATGGTGGAAAATTTCAAATGTACACAAATGAATAGAATAATGCAACGAATCATCAGAAACCCCCCACCCAGTTCCAGTAATTACCCACATTCTGCCAGCTCTTCCAACTCCTCACCCCGCCAACTTGATAATGATTATTATACTTTGTTTTTCCTGAGGCAAAACTTATAACTAAGTATTTTTTAATGATTTGGTTTAAGCTATTATTTAGAAACAACATGGGAAATGGTTATATGTCAAATTTTTCACTTATTTTGTAAAAACCATTGGAGCATGGTCCACTGTGTCATTGAATTCCTTTGGCTTAAGTCCCTCACTGTGAATTTATTTCGAGATGCCATCTCTCTCCTGAAGCATAATTGATTGGGTTGGGTTTTTTTCTGCCTTTTTTACCAAGAAACTCTGAACTGAATCACAGTAATTCTATCTGTATAGTTTTTTGATAAGTCTGTTTCCACCTCCCTCTACAGAATTTTTGATTTTGTATTCCTATTTTCAAGGTCACATTTTATATGTATCTCTTTATTAGCTATTACCTCAATTCTGATTGGTAAGCAGAATGAAATGGATCATAAGTAGACACAGGGTGGGGCAAAAGTAAGTTTACAGCTGTTTGCATGGGAAATAATACAATATTTAATAAATAATAATACACAAATAAACTCTGTGTTTTGCATATCACAACTGTAAACCTTCTTTTGCCCTACCCTGTATATGAGATTGATCTTCCCTTGATCTTCAGAAGGCCTCGAGTCATGACTATAAACATCCTTTGTTGTTTCCACATGCAGAGGGTATAGAGACGGGTACAGGAGAATCTTCGGGAGGAAGTTGATTTCATTCATGCTATTCTCCTACTGGGTCTGCTCTGCCCAGAGGTCCCCTGGGGAGGGAGCACTCACCTGTGCCAAGGAATGTGTGGTCTTAGAAGCCCAAGAATGACGTGTGGACAAGAAGGAAACCTGTGGCACGCACAGACCTAAAGTCTTCCATTGCTTCTCAACCTTCCTAATGCCGCAACCCTTTAATACAGTTCCTCATGTTGTGGTGACCCCCAACCATAAAATTATTTTCGTTGCTACTTCATAACTGTAATTTTGCTACTGTTATGAATCATAATGTAAATATCTGATATGCAGGATGTATTTTCATTGTACACAGACCTAAAGTCTTAGTTTAGACTGTTCATGAACAACCATGAAGGCCCTTAACATACGGCCATCTGTTGCATGTAGAGGTCCGGTGTTAAATCTCATGCCTGTTTATAAACAACCATGAAGGCCCTTAACATACGGCCACCTGTTGCATGTAGAGGTCCGGTGTTAAATCTCATGCCTCTTGGAGCTTGTGTGTGGAAGAGACTCCCTTAGGTGGGGAACTGACCTCCCAGCGCCTTGTGCTCTGTGTCTCTTCACTCATCGCTAGTTTTGCAAGAGCTTACAAAGTGTGTACTTTTTTTTTCTTTAATCAAAACTGCTTTACGTGTGGGGGACAGAAAAATCACCATAATGTGATAGATTGAAATTCAGTTCAAGTTGAAAGGGTGGTTAACCTGTGATGTGAGGCAATGTACAGGAAACATGCGGTTTGGGAGTAAGCCAGGAGCTTGCACAAACGTTTCCGCACTCACGAACTTGGGGATTTGTGAGTGCCTCTGGACATCATCAATCCTCGCAGATGTCGAGGACCTATGTACCGTCCAAAAGAGGCCAAGAGGGAGCTAGTGTACAGGAATGTGACAGGGAGAGGGTATCATTTCCCAGAATTGGCCTAACCTTATTTGAGCAACATCAGGAGAAGGGAATAAGAGCTTACAAATCTCCACGCTCAGCACAATTACTCCTGCAAAAAATTATTTGTACCTTTGATCAAGGATCTCACCGAGTTGTGCACATTTTTTTTCTTCCTTACCCTACAACTCCCTTTCACCTACAAAATTGTTCCTCTATAGTTTATGTTGCATTTGCAGCGAGTCTGTTGTAGAGTTTAAAAGACCTGTTTCTTGTCTGCTTCTCTTATGAAACCAAGAGAGTTGACCTCTCTTACTTTCCCTAATGATCCAGAAAGTGTTTCCTCTGGCAGGACACATTCTTAGCAGAGGGAGAAAAGCAGTCTGCCTCTGGTTCTCTAGGGAAGGTGGATTGGTCAAGAGACTTAGGAAGATCCTAATGGTCCAGCTACCTCCCGACAGAGGCTCCAGGTCCAAGAACAGATGGGCTCCGTCGGGAAGCAGATGTTGTCTGCACTCCTTCTCTGGCTTGGCCTCTTGTGGTCACCAAGGGGTGTGAAGGGGTCAGTGTGGATGTGTAAGGCATTTCTATTTTAGAACAGTTTACTTCTTACCAGAGTTATTTATGTGCCTCACTCAATAGATGCTAAGTTCCTGGAATCAACGACTGCATCTTCTTTTTTAATCTCTGCACTCAAACTACTAAAAACTACCAGAGCTTTTCTCCTGGTCTGCACTGAGGAAAGATATTCCTGTTACAGGGTAGGAGAGAGATTGTAGCTTTGGAATAAGACAGAATGAGGGTGGACTCCCAGCTCCATCACTGACCACCCTCTTGAGCTTTAGAAGAGTTTTTTAAAGTCTATGAGTTTCAATTTTTTCATCAGTAGACGGGGCTAATAATACATAATTATAGGTTTGTTGGGGAATTGAAACTGATATTGTGTGTAGAACCCCTGGCACAAAGCTTGACACAGTAAATACTATTGCCCTCTCTGTTCTGTGGCCCTGACTGAGCTGAATGCCCTCACTCTGGAACCAGGGCTGACTAATCCTGCACAACTACCCAGGTGTGCTTGCAGGCTCACTCCCACATCTCACTTTCTGTCTGGTCTCTGTCCGAGCCGATGGGCCAGGGAAAGGTTACCACCTTCCGAGCAGAGTCTAACAGCCCGGATCCACGTTCTGATTTTGAAGGCAGCTGCAGAGTTCTCTTCCCTACTCCCTATGATCTATGCGTTTATCTCTAATAAAGTCATTTTTCTTTTGTGGCAGGGTACACAAAATTCATTATGTAATGAAAAGGAATAGGACTGTTTAATCCTGTGGGGATGGTTGGAGGCCAGGGAAGAGCCTAGAAGTCCTCCAACCTGCTTACCACGCGGCCTTCCTCAGGCTGAGCTCAGGGTCTAACACAGCAGGGCCATAGCTGGTGGAACAAGGAAAGGATTTTGCTAGTCCCTCCTTTTTCTGCTAATGTTACTGCTGGTGGCAAAGAGTCTCTAACTTTGGGAGGGCTTATTCATAATCACTAATAAAGCCAATAAAAAGTGCTTAGGAACAATAATGATTGCTTGGGCAACTATTTTAAATATCCGACTGCTGGAAATCGCCCAGAAATGGGGGGCAGACACCAAGGTTTTTAAATATAAATAAATAAGGATCTAGTGTGCTGAGGTCATTGTACTCCCACAAGAAAATTACTTTCAAATTACAACTACATAAAAGAAATAATTGAAAAGATTAATCACACTGAAATAATTGGTCTATTTTACAAGTAATTTGGAGCAATATTCAGTCATTGACATCAATGTCTAATGGTAAAATAGTAATGAATTTCATTCTCTCTAATGTATTTATTTTATTAATGGTGCTAAATGGTGTTGTTACTGCTTATAAATATTTCATAACTTTTAATTCATCAAATGTTCAAATAATTTCTAAAAGCATTTATTAGCTTTAAGTAACTCTTAGTATTCAATATGCGATTGACACACTGCGGGGTAATTTTAAAAATTATTGTTTTGGGTAATGGGAGTCTCTTTGAACGTAGAAGATTAAACCCCAGTTATTAATGAGACCGGAACTCTCGCTGGTGATGAATGAGGGGTTTGGTGAAGCTGTGTTCCCTCTGTAGGTCTCTAAGGCCCCTCTTACAGCCATTCCTTCAAATCTGTGGCTATGAGAAGAGCAAGGTGGACCAAGATAAATTCTTTCCAGAGATGATAAGAGAAATGTCAGTTTAGACATTGGTTTCAATCCACTACTTCTCCCACACCCTCTTCATGTTTCTGAAGCTGATGGCAGAATTCATACATCCCAACCTCACCTCTTATCTCTGTGTCTTTCATTCTTTGATGGAGGCCTTAATGAGTGAAATGGGCAAACAGATGCAACAGATGGACAGTGGAAGGAGAACAGGATTTTCGTAAGAAAAGCATGGGTTTAAATCCTACCTCAGTTGCTTGTGTGCTACTATGTGTCCATTACATCCTATGGTATTAAATAATTCATGGATGAAATGAAGACAGTGGTACCCATCCTGGCCCGTGTGAGTTAAGTATGATAGTGTGACATGGTGTCTGCATCCTAGTGGGAAATCAGCCAGGATTAGTTCTGCCCCTTCTTGAGTCTCCCAGTGGCTTTGCGACTCTTAACTGACCATGGTTCAAACAATTGATATGAGTCATCAAGAAACACTGGGTTAGCAGTAAATTGCTCAACTCAGGGGCTTGGTGAGGCTTAAGGATGTTCACTGGAGGAGGGAAGGTAAGTCTGCTCTTGGTGTTCTGCCCCACAGGTCTGAGACCAGGCTGCCTCCAGCGCCTCAGCCACACAGGAATTGGCCAAAGGCATTGGCTGTGGGCAAGTTGAGAGGGGCCAGGATCCAACCAGTGGGTTAGGATCAAGTAGGGCCAGTGATTCTTAGACCTTGAGGATATGTAGTGGTGTTCTGGGAATGTGAAAACC